ATATGTACACACACAAATATATTCTATTGAATTTATATATATATGTGTGTGTGTGTATGTATATATATATATATATATCAATAGAACTTAGCATCTTTTTTCTTTTCACTTTTGTCATTCTAACTTCTCGTCTTCGTTTTTCTCAAATTGCGACTCGACTAGTTTCTTGCTTCTTGGGTTGGTTCAACTTAAATCCACTAAGAGTTCAGTTTAAAGAGTTAAAAAACTTTATTAAGACCAGAGAGTTGGGAGAAAAGTAAGTAGAGCAAAAAGTTTCTCAATATTTACTTAAACGTTGTTATTCCTTCCATTTTAGCACGGTATCCTCGAAATTCTTGCTTGGGTTTAAGACTCTGAGCCGGAAGAACACTGCCATATGTAGGATATTTTTCCAAATACTCAGTTGTGGGGCAGTACACGCCAGAATGTTCATAAATCCTGGTGGTCCCCTGTGGACAACGATGTCGCCTGTGCAAACATAAACAAACTGAAAGATTATTTACACCTTCCAAAACATATGCGTGATAATTGCGTTTCAATCAGAGACCTTCGATATACTCAGAATCTCTCAGTTGAAGAGTAGCTTTGCTAAGAAAACAAAACACAAACCCTCTGTTTTCTCTGCAGTGGTGTTCACAAAAGCAATGAATAAATTATGGTCTATCTTATGTGGTGAAAACTCTGGCTTCGCTCTGACAACTATGTAGGGTGTCTCATTATACTATGGAAACCAAAAAGCTAACACGTGAATTTCCTGGGCCCCTTGCAGGCAGGTTCTACACACAATTTCTTTTCACCTAGTGCTCACGTGAGAGCTACCCAGGGGGAGGGGTAGGGCACATCCAATTTGCTTGCATGGGTTGTGGTAGAGGCACAGAGTTTGGAGCCAGCACTGGTTCGGCAGCGTCCTGGTTTGCAAGGTGGCTTCCTGACTTGGCAGCTTCTTGACCTTGGCAGTGATGAGTGGCTCTGAAGCCTACAGCTTTGCTGCAGTTTCCCCATTGTGGCAGAGGCAGTGGCTCCCTTGGCAAAGCCCAGGGCTGCGGGGAGATTTTTGGGAATTGTTCCTGAAAGCTTAGTTTGACAACTGTTTCTTTGGTTCTTCCAACAATTCTGTGAGCTGTATATACTCTTTAATAGATTCTTTTATGCCTAAATGAGCCAGAGTATATTGTCCATAACTGACAACCCTGACCAGTGCATGATAATAGTGTGTAGTTGTTAAAGAGAATGAGGTTGATCTTTCTGAATGCTATTGGAAGATGGAAGATTGTAAGCAGTGAAAAAGCGGGCTGTAGAATACTATGTATAGTAGCTTCTCTCTTTCTCAAAGAGTGCAAATATAGAAATCTTAACATATGAAATCTGTGGGGAATAGGATTATGAAGGTTTTTCACTATATTATAGATTTTCTTACTTGAATTTTATACTATGCCTCATGTATATTTATAATCAGGAAAAAAAAAAAAGATAAAACTGTTAACAAAACAAAAAACCCAAGCAAACAAAAAAAGTAAAACTCGCAAGTTCTGAAATATGAATTCAGTTTCTGAGGTCTGGTACCATTTGGGGCTCCCAGGCTATGTGCTAAGGGCTGATAACGCAAGCCCAGGGAAAGGCGAAGAAAAGTTATCTGTAGAGAATCGGGACCCCCTGAGATATCTGGACTTCACGAGCCCCCAGGAAGAACGCAAGAGAAATCAGTTTGCTTGGAGGAGGCTGGATGGCAGAGAATAGAAGCTGTGCGAAGTCAACACATTTTCCTGTCTTTTAAAAAAAATCCATGAAAGAGACGATTGATGAAAGGTAACTTGTCTTTTAGGGTCCCTAGGGGAAAGGGATGTCCTAGACTGAACAGGAGGGGAGAGAGATGGATTTCTCCAGAGAAAGGAAGGAGGTAAAAGATGAGATTCTAAAAGAGCTGGCTAAATGGAACCCTACAGTAGTGGCTCCCAGCTGTGCCAGAAATACCTGTGCCTCCAACATAAACCTGAAAGTGGGGGTGGCACCGGTCTTGAAGGGATCACGTGAGCTTCAGCAAGAGATGTTTCCATAGGAAGCATCCCCAATGCTCGAAGTGCAGAGGAGACCCCTACACTTGCAATGCCTCAGCTCCCTGGATCACTAAGCGTCTGGAATTAAGGGGAGCCTCCTGAAAACTGAATTTCCTGACAGCTGGACGGGACAGGAACTTGAGTTGGATATGTTATAGAAAAAAGTTAACCAATTTTTGCACATTAGTTTTCAGATTCATACCTCAAATGTTAATTTATCGTTTAATCTACATCTAATTATTATAAGAAACGTTTATCGTGAAACTAGGAGGGGGGAATGCTTTCAACATCCAAGTGATTTTCCTTTGGACGGGATCGAATACAAACCGACTGAGATTCATATTTCTTTAGCAAGTATCGATCTAATCCCTGGGTCAACAGAGAAGCTAAGGAAGAAGACTGTTTATAGGTACGGGTGAGAGGTTGTCAGGCAGGGCTCGCAGGCCAATTCTGGGGTTCAGGGTGGAGACTACTGCCTTTTCTGTCACTCAGCCCCCCAGGGGCGCTTCTTGGGTGCGAATGGGAACAGGCTGTCCGTCGGGCTGGGACGGAAAGCTGGAGATGGAAGGGACCGTAACACGTGCTTGGAACTCATGGGCTTGCACACCGTTCTCTGTCTTATTCCTTTTCCATCCTTTTTTTTTTATAAATTTATTCGTAGGGCATCCCAGCTCCCAGTCGGATCAGATCGCACCACTCGCCAGTCTGAATCCGGCCGCCGGTGCTCATTTACTCCCGCCCGGCGAGAAGGGGCGTCTGCACGGCAGAAACGTGGGCACCGTCCTCCCCGGGCGGCCTTCGGGGGCTCCGCCCGCCGCCCCCCGGCCGCGGCTCACCCGCAGGTGCAGATCTGACACAGGCACCGGGTCCTCATGCTCTCCGCCCGCAGCGTCCGCTCTGCTGCGCCTCCGAACGTCCTCAGCTCCGGGTCCCGCGCGCCGCCGTCGTCCAGGCAACGCGGGCTCCCGGGAGACGGACGCGGCGCCGGCTTCCGGTAACGTCATC